AAATATAACACAGATAACATTAAATACATATTTTTTTACCAGGTTAAATGTTGAATATTAGTAACTCAAACCCCTTTTTCTAAGCCTCTCTACCTAACCGCCGGTCGCGCACATCTGCCATGTTTGTAGTTTTTAACGCGTTTTATTCGTGTTTGCAGTTCTTGACAGAATCCTTCACCAAAGCGCAATGGATTGTGGGCAATATTAGCCATTAGAGTGTGCACGGATCCACACTTCAAAAATCGACCTGAAATAGTAGACCATCCGGGGACTTTTGGCATACTCTTTTCAACATACTATGCTTTGGGACACACTTATTCTAATCTCACATACTATTTAGGATGGATAGTATGAACATTGAGACGCAGGGGCACTCTAGACCAGTGGTTCTCAAACATCTCCATGAAGTACCCCCAGCACTGCACATTTTGTATGTTTCCCTATATGTGACACACCCACTTCAGGTCTTGCAGTCTCCACTAATGAGCTGATGAGTTGAATCAGGTGTGATAGATGAGGGAGACATACAAAATGGGTACTCCAGGACAGGTTTGAGAACCACTGCCCTAGACCAGTGGTTTTCAATCCAAACCCACCACCCTGCACATTTTGTATGTCTCTGTTAGTCTATCTGACACACGCCCTGCGTCCCAATGAGCATACTATCCACCCTATCTGCCCTAAATATTATTGAAAATTACTAATATCACGTAGAATTTAGGATGGATAGTACGCACATTGGGACGCAGGCACTGAGTTCAGTGCATGGAACTTTCACCTGATGAACTGATGATCTGAATCAAGTGTGTTAAATAAGGAAGACACACAAAATGTGCAGAGCGGTAGGTCCCCAGGACTAGGATTGAAAACCACTGCTCTAGACTATGCTATTGCCTTTAATAAAGTAATATGTTGTGTTTGTTGTCATATGTGACCCTGGACCACAAAACCAGTCATAAGGGTCAATTTTTTTAAAATTGAGATTTATTCATTATAAATAAATAAGCTTTCCATCGATGAATGGTTTGTTAAGATAGGACAATATCTGGCCGAGATACAACTATTTGAAAATCTGGAATCCAATCTGGAATCCAAAAAATCTAAATATTGAGAAAATCGCCTTTAAAGTTGTCCGAATTAAGTTCTTAGCAATGCATATTACTAAACAAAAATTACTATGTTTTTATGCGGTAGGAAATTTACAAAATATCTTCATGGAACATGATCTCTACTTAATATCCTAATGATTTTTTGCATAAAAGAAAAATCTATCATTTTGACCCATACAATGTATTGTTGGCTATTGCTACAAATATATCAGTGCTGCTTATGACTGGTTTTGTAGTCCGGGGTCACATATCGTCTGGCTGTTCTTAGATGCTTTTATGTTTATGTTTTGTATAGAGCACTTGCTGAAAGTTAATATATTACTATTAGAGATATTTATTGAGTGTACCTTTAATATTTCCGAAACTTGAACTTGTCTACAGGTGCATCATGACACATACGCGTTAAGCCCCGCCCACGATCTTCAAAACGAAACCATTGGATTAATGTACAGCGGCTTCGAAAATGACATATATAACTCATTCAATAAATGTGTAACTACTTTTATCCTTACAAAAAATCATGTATAAAGTGGGGGACTCGTATTATTTGGTATAATAAGTAGCTATCAACCGACACAAAATTTGGGCCTGTGAACATAGCATTTTGTCTTATTTTATATTAGTTTTTATAACGTCCCTTATCTTATGTTGCGATCAGACTTAAATGAAAGGTGTTGACAAACAGATCCAATGTGGTTTTATTATATATGATCTATACTCCAAATGTAGTTGGTCCTCATCAGCTACGTCGCTTATCGTGACATCCTCACGACAATATAATTGTTTTTTTAAGTCAAAACTATTGGGTTTATCCCTACTTGGCCATCGTCTGTGTCATTCTGTGCGTCATCTTCCTGTAAAACCCTGCGCTGCGTATACCTCAATAACGAATAACGTGCGATCAGTGCCGCACTCGATTTAACTTGCTGCCATTTGTACAAGTGTCACTTTCCGTAAACGAGAGGCGAGTGTTTTATCGGTCATCAGTGTGCACTAAATAACCAGCTGTACCCTCACAACTAGTAGCCTATGCTACAGAGACACAGACATGCTGACGAACTTGATATATGACACGAGACCGCATTCCCATCCTACCCGAAACTTTACGATGAAGGGAGAGCGTGAAAACGACACAGAGCTGCAGTCAGACAGTAACGACCATCTCTTACCTTCACATCATGGGTCCATGTTGATGATGCGCATTGATTTTTACAAACAGGCTTGAACGAATTTGGACTGTTGAAAGTGATGGTTGTAGTAGCGGCACAGAATACGGAACTGCTTTCATTTGAGATGATATGGGGAAGGGGGCGGAGGACTTTCCAGTTCTTGTTTACGCATTGCTGTTTTATTCATTCCATGGCAGATTGTCTCTGATTGGACACAAACTAGGGCACAGCTTTCAATTACCAACTAGTCCAGTAACAGTTTAGAACCAGTTTATCAATGAAGACACAAGTGTGGCAGGTAGCCCTGTCCGTATGGACCTATTCAAGACAGGTACCTGCCGTTAACATGTGACTTGCAGTTCATGTCAGACAGGGTTGCATTAATAAGGAGCGGCATGAATGATAATGTTACATTAGCCTCCTTAGCCTAAAAAAACAAACAAAAAAAAACGTATGCACAAACATCTTCCCTCAAATGACTAATCAGGCTATGTTATATGCTATGTAGAAAAAAAACATAAAAATAAACATATGTTTGGAATAATGAGGTGATGTTTTAAATATATTTTAAAGTTTTAAATAATATTAATGCTAGTAAAAATAAAATGAAAATTTCAATGAAAAAATGGAAATACAGGGTAAGATGGGGTAAGATGCCTTAACCATAAATTGCACAAAATCTCATGTCAGCATTTTTGATGAATGGCTACGCTATTTTTAATTTTGTCATTTCATCTGAATATCAACGTTTGTGAGATTTGGTTACATTTTGTGTCTCTGGAAAATGGTGACTTATAACATTGTATTATGTTCAATACCAAACATGTGTAGCGTCTGGACCAATCAAACTGAGAGGTCAAGTAAATATCTACAGCGGATCTAAATATTTATAATTAATTATAACTAGTTATGATTAATTATTCATATTTCCCCATGAGCTGATTCGCTACACATGTTGGTGTCTGTGGACACATCAATGTTTTTAGATTTGTGAAGTAAAAATTAAAGTTTTTATTTTGAAGCAAAAAGATAAAATTAGACTCTTGTGGTAAGATTAGCTCAATTGGCACAGAAGGCCCTTGTAACGGGGCTGACGAGACGAGAGGCGTGCGGATCCATGTGCAAGCTTTTATTCACAAGAGACGTGGTCAAAAAACACAGACAGGGTCGAACAACGGCAAACAGGTATGGCACAGGCAAGACCAAGAATATTCCTTGGGCTAGCGTGGGTCTACGATCGGCGAACAGTATCCAGAGGGCTTGACAAGAGGGGTAATCCAATAAACACAGGCAGAAGGTCAGGAAACAGACAACAAGGCAACAC